ACATTATTGCAAGATTAAGATATATATGTATATATAGTACCACTGATATTCTCTTTATATAATGTGTTATCTTTACCACCTGATTTTTGTGAATGCAAAAATTACATATACGAGGCTTTCATAAATTGTCTCAAGATCGGTTTCCAATCCAACTTTCCCCATCAGGCTTTGAGTTTCTCAAAATGCCCTATGATTAAGGAGAGTATAATGAACACTTGTCTGTCTGTCCTTGATGGTAGGGATATTGTGGGTTTCCTCATTTATATGGGCCTTGGTACCTAGTCCAGTGCTTGGCATAACACGTGCTCAGTAACTGTGTTAAACTGATCCCTTTACCCATTCAAATATCAAGCAATGGTGGAACAATGGCTGAACACTGACCAAGTGGCAGATCTTATATTTCAGCGATGGTACCCACTGCTGCAAAAATCAGTAAATGGGGTCTGCCAGAGTTTATAGACCCCATTTCCCTGCATAGCTTAGCTAAGTTTCTGGGTCTCTCTCACACCTCCAAGTCACCCAATTTTTTCTGAGAAGGTGACACCTAAAAAAGGCTAGAAAGCAGGGCCTCTCTGAATCACCAGAAAAAGTTATATGTGGTCCTTCCAAAGAGGTTTATCTAGACAGTTAGCCTGCCACCAGTAATTTCCTTTTAGATTTACATGCTATTATGCAAACAAAAACATTTTGATATTTTGTGGTCTTTAAAGCATTGCCATTTTACATAAAATACGAAAATTTCCCTTTAAATATGTAATGTAGAATGCTTGCAAAGTTATTAAATGTGATTTGTTATGCTACAGGACCAAATTACTTCCCATAGGAATATTTCTATAAACGTGAAACAACTACCACGTTTCAAGCAGTAGATCGCACGCTTTATAGACATTTCATTTAATTCTCACAAAAAATCCTGAAAGGATTCAGTCTCATTTACAGCTAAAGAAAATGAAGTCCAGGATGGTTAGATAATTTGCCCAAAATCATACAGTTTTTGAGCATTGAAACCCACACAGTCTAAACTCTAGAGGCTGTGTTCTTTTTTTTTTTTGGTGAGGAAGATTGTCCCTGAGCTAACAACACCTGTTGCCAATCTTCCTCTTTTTGCTTGAGGAAGATTGTCCCTGAGCTAACATCTGTGCCAATCTTCCTCTATTTTGTATGTGGGACACCACCACAGCATGGCTTGATGAGCAGTGTGAAGGTCTGTGCCTGGGATCCAAACCCGCGAACCCTAGGCTGCTGAAGCAGAGTGTACGAACTTAACCATTACACCACCAGGCCGGCCCCTAGAGCCTGTGTTCTTTTTTTTTTTTTTGTGAGGAAGATCAGCCCTGAGCTAATATCCATGCTAATCCTCCTCTTTTTGCTGAGGAAGACTGGCTCTGAGCTAACATCTATTGCCAATCTTCCTCCTCTTTTTTTCCCTAAAGCCCCAGTAGATAGTTGTATGTCATAGCTGCACAGGCTTCTAGTTGCTGTATGTGGGACGCGGCCTCAGCACGGGCGGAGAAGCGGTGCGTCAGTGCGCACCTGGGATCCGAACCCGGGCCGCCAGCAGCGGAGCGCGCGCACTTAACCGCTAAGCCACGAGCCTGTGTTCTTAATGGCCATGCTACAGCAGTAGGTGTCTATTAAAAAATCTTGAAAATATTTCTAAATATTTCTAAAGTAAAAGGCAACATAGTATCAGTCTGCTAAACCCATATTGCTGAAATCATTATAAACTCGGGCTCTTATAATACCCACTCATGAATCTAACTACAGCTCAGACTCACATTTTTAGGATTTAAACTGCTAGGGCTTGAGTCCACTTTCTCTTAACTCTCACCAGCAATAAAAGCCGCATTTATAGGCAGGCCCCTTAACCACTCAATAACATCTACTGACTGCTCACGATGGGTCATAACTGGGTCAGGTGCTGGGGATAAAACGAACAAAACAGTTATGATCCCTGCTCTCATGGAGCTTATAGTCCAATAGAGGAGAGTAAAGAAGAGAGCAAGGCTGCCATATGTAGGCAAACAAGGGGATATAATTTTATATTAGGGGGTCAAGGGGGGCCTCTCTCAGAAAGTAACTTAAAGGCTAAACTGGATTTAGAGTACATATGTTGGGAGAAAGGGGGTGGAGAGAATTTCAGGCAGAGAACACGCGTAAAGGCCTGCAGCAAGAAAAAACTAGTCTGAAAAATCCAAAATGAATTTGATCTTGCCCTCCTCAGTATCTACATCTCCTACAAATCTTCTGAGAAGAAAGTGGCAAGGGTGAGAAAGATGGCTCCTGAAACATCTAGCCATTAGCCATTCTCCTATAAGTCAGTAAGAACACCATTTAGGAAACCTGGACCTAGGGGATCCAGACTATTAATATCTGAGGAAGAGGGGACTGTTGGCTGTTTTGGCACATAATAGCAGCCAAGAGGCAGACCAAACATACAATCTGAGAATTTTAGCATTCTTTTAAAAAATGCTTATCATTGAAATGCATAGCATTCCATATGAGGAATTTAAAACTTGGTTATTTAGGTGAACCTTAGCCTTCAAATATAACAAAATATAGATATTGAGGAATACAAAAATTCATGTTAAGGGGTCAGCCCAGTGGCGTAGTGGTTAAGTTCACACGCTCCGCCTCGGCGGCCTGGGGATTGCGGGTTTGGATCCCGGGCACAGACCTACACCACTCATCAAGCCATGCTGTGGCGGCATCCCACATACAAAAAACAGAGGAAGTTTGGCACAGATGTTAGCTCAGGGCCACCCTTCCTCAAGCAAAAAGAGGAAGATTGGCAACAGGTGTTAGCTCAGGGCCAATTTTCCTCACCCCCCCAAAAAAAAAAATTCATGTTAAGAATGAAAAATCTGGGGCCCACCCCACGGCCTAGTGGTTAAGTTTGGTGTGCTCCACTTCGGCAGCCCGGGTTCGGTTCCCAGGTGCAGACCTACGCCACTCATCAGCAGCCATGCTGTGGTGGTGACCCACATACAAAATAGAGGAAGACTGGTACAGATGTTAGCTCAGGGCCAATCTTCCTCCGCAAAAAGAGGAAGATTGGCAATGGATGTTAGCTCCTGGCTAAGCTTCCTCACAAAACAAAACAAACAAACAAAAAAATAATAGTAAGATACTAATAAGCCATACATAGCCTGTAATAATCATAACAGACTATGTCAATATATAATGACAGGACAATGGGTTACATAATGCTGGCTAAGTAAAAGCTAAAGAACACATCATTCCAGGGAAAAAACACATCATTTCAGGAAAAACTAAAACCTATATAAAAAGTATGATCTTACAAAGCTTTCTAGTCATAAGTTCACTTAGTAAAAGCAGCCCAGTCAGGAGGCAGTGGCAGCGGTTGGCTGCAGCACCGTGCGCATGCAAACACCGCTGGGGAGGCGGTGGCAGCCGGCAGCAGCCCCATGTGCACATGAGCACACACGAATACCCGAGCAGCAGTGGCAGCAGCGTGGCGGCGATCCCGTCCCACGACGGTCGATGGAGCAGCAGCAGAGGCAGCAGCCCGACCCACACAACTGTGAGTAGACAGGGTGGGAGCACCCAGCCCCCAGTAGAGGTACCCCAGACACCAACTCTATCAGCAGGGGGGCTACATACAAGTCCCCAGGTCCCTGGGCCCCCACCAGCAACAGCAACACCCATGAATCCAGCACCCCTGGCAGTGGTAAAACCAGTACCCCCAGACAACTGGGGAACAGCAACACAGGTGGTGCACAGGACAACAGCATCCGAGCCTGCAGAGAGCCAGTGGAGGAACACAAGACCCAGGCAACCAGAGCCAAGTAACCAAAGCCATACCCAAATAAGAGAAGGTGATTACTATCACAAATGTGCTGGTAGAGGATCAATTCATCAAACACCATGAAGAACTACAGTAACACTGCAAACAGAAGGAAAATGAAAACTCTCTAGAAACCAAATCTGAAGTCACAGAAATTTACAATCTAACTGACAGAGAATTCAAAACAGCAATCATAAAGAAACTCAATGAGTTACAAGAAAACTCAGAAAGACAGTTCAGTGAGCTCAATAATAAAATTAATGACAGAGGGATACTTCACCAAAGAGACTGAAGCTCTAAAAAAAAAAAAAACCAAACAAAAATTCTAGAGATGAAGAAGACAATCAATGAGATAAAAAATAACGTAGAAAGCACAAAAAATAAAGCAGAACTTATGGAAGAGAGAATTAGTGACCTATAAGATAAAAATATAGAAATGATTCAGGTGGAGGAGGAGAGAGAACTAAGATTTTTCAAAAGGTAGCCTAATCAGGGAATTGGCAACTCAGGTTTGAAATACTCTGGGGAGAAGCAATCAGGAACTATGCCTTACCAAAAATTGGCAACAGGTCAATAACCCAAATTCTGTAACCTTGGCTGGACCAGAGTATTATTCCTTTTCTTTTTGGTCTGATAAGATTACTGTAACTCTCTGAAGATTAAAAAAATTAAATAACCTACTACTGGAATCCCAGGAAAATATCAAGATAAATAAGTTGTAATCCTAAGAAGACAAAGCGTGGTCACAACTATTTTGTTTATTGGCTATTTAGGGTGACTGGAGTATTCAAAAGAATCAACCATACTAAATTTGTAATAATAATTTTAATTGCTTAAAGGTATCTGATTAAATCTGTAACCAAGGTTTAAATACTTTCAAAAAGTTGATTTTAAATTAGACTTTTTGTTTCTTAGATATATTGCATTCAATTATTTGAGCCTTAAACACAATGCAAACAGGTCAGAGTGCTCCTCTCTGCATACAAAAAGCCTCTTGGATATTACAGAATCTAATCAATAGTTATAAGCCCCTTCAAGTCAGGACTGTGTCTTATTTGACCTTACGTCATTAACCCCTAGCACAGTGCCTGCAGTGCAGTCGGTTCTCAATAAATGTTTCTTAAGTGAAAGCATGAATGGTAATAAAAATTATCAAAAACCCAACAAATAAATCGAACTCCAGTCTTCTTACCTGTTTTTTTTTTCCCTTTTTGACCAGGAACTGGTTCTAAGCTATCTTGGCCTTTTCTCATTAACATGGCGAGTGACGCATCATGAGCTCTGAACAGGTCCACAACCTCATGTAAGGCAACATCTGTTATCAGATCACAGCTCAGGACCAGTACATCTGTCTGTCACATGGAGAAAGAGAAAGTCAATTATCACAAAAGACAACGGATCATACAAATCATCACAGGATAAACTTACAGTGGCTTAGAAGCATACACCAACCGGACACTTGTTTTCAAACCTTTTTTATAGCAGCAGAATAAGTAAAATAAACAGGGTTATTCTAATTGAACTGTGCTGGGGAGAGCCTGAAATATCTACCTGCCTTTTTTTTCCCTATAATTTTATTTATTTATTTATTTTTCCCCCAAAGCCCCAGTAGACAGCTGTATGTCATAGCTGCACATCCTTCCAGTTGCTGTATGTGGGACGCGGCCTCAGCATGGCCAGAGAAGCGGTGCGTCGGTGCGCGCCCGGGATCCGAACCCGGGCCGCCAGCAGCGGAGCGCACGCACTCAACTGCTAAGGCACGGGGCTGGCCCCTCTACCTGCCTTTTGTGCATGCCTGACTGCTACCATCCTGGAGGAACCTCTGGAATCCTGGGCTCTAAGGAACAGAGCCTGAAAACCAACACATTGTCTATTCCCACAACTATGGAATTAATGATCTTAAATTTATATATCCCTTTACAGTTTAAAAAGCATTTTTGCATAGTTTGATGATTCAATATGGTTATGAAATACTATAAAGCAGTCACTTTGCTACAGTACTAGGAAATAACAGGATGAAGATAATATAATGACCCCTCTTTGGGAAATCAGTCTTGCTAGTAAACAACTACAATACAACCTCACGTATGTATAAAAGCACTCATTTAATCCTTGTAATAATACCATGGGGATGGGATTGTTACTATTATTATTATTAGTCCCCATTTTTAGGGATAAAAAATATGAGACCTACCTATCACAACGCCTGGCACATAGTAGACAGTAACTGTTTGATGAATGAATGAATAAATCAATGAAGTAAAAATAGATTTTCTCATAGTGGTGGGTTTTCTAATGGCAATTTTAGTAATTCAGATTAATTACAATATGTAATTGATATTACATACAATATTGTATGTGATAATTGTATGTAATTAATTGATATTAATTACAATATGTAAATGATAACATTTATTGAATGCATACTATTGGTCAGGAATTGTGATAACACTTCGCATGCATTATCTCAATCTTCAGAACCCTATGCAGTAAGCACTATTATTATTTATACTTTACAGACAAAAAAAAAACCAGGTTTGTAGTAGTTATGTAACTATCTAAGATCTAACAACTAGTAATGACTTCATATAAAGAATTTGCACTACTGAACAGCCCTTAAAGAAATGCAGCTTTGCAAGTCTGAAGATCTATTTAATGGAGGTTCTAGTCTGCAGTACTGGGTACCAAACAGAACCGAATTTAGATCTTAGGCAGATACTCTAAATTTTGGTCTGTCTAGTACCCAATCTATGGCTACTAGATATCAGGTGGAGTACCGTATTTAAAGAGTAACCTTGATAAATTAAAAAATTATCAATAAGAAGATGATCAAGGTGGTGAAAGAGCCAGAAACGGTGACAGCTGAAAGAACAGAAGTTTAGCACAGAAAAGAAAAGACTGTGTGTGGAGGACACCACGGGCAGGACAAGGAGTAGGGAGTGGGGTTAAAAAAGAAAGAGATAATAGCACTCTTCAAATACTTGACAGTATTTGAGGAAGAACTAAATTTTACCTGAATAGCCCAAGAGCAAAACTAAGAATGAATAGGTAAAACATGAACAGAAGTACTTTTGGTTTCCATATTAACTTATATCTGTCAATCAGAGCTAGTCAAAAGGAATAATTTTGTAAGGAAATGAGTTTCCCAACACTAGAAGTGCTCAAGCAGAAAACAGATTATCACTTGCAATGATTTATTTATCTAACATTTACTGAGCACTTACTCTATGCTCAGTCAGGCCCTATTTTGGAACTTGGAGGAAAGCTGGACTAGAAAGTATCAAATGTGAGTGGCTAAGAAAGGCGACCTAATCTATTTTAAACAAATTTCTATCTATACATTCTGCCATTATGTTTTACCATAAATGCAGAAAATAGAAGTCCAAAAACAATTAACTGGAAAATTCCTTACATTGCAATTTAAATCGACTACACCAATGTTTCTCAGTAGCACACCTACTGTTTCCCGAGTGCTTCAGGGAAAGCCTGGTTCCTACTGCCCTCCTGAATCAATCAAGGCAGCTCCTCTTTAATTAATTTTATTTTCTAGGATTCTGTTTCAGACTTCTTTTCAGACTTTAAAAACTCTGAAAAACATTGAACTAAATTATTCCAGGTTTGGGCTGGCCCCGTGGCTTAGCGGTTAAGTGTGCGGGCTCTGCTGCTGGCAGCCCGGGTTCGGATCCCGGGCGTGCCCCGACGCACCGCTTCTCCGGCCATGCTGAGGCCGCATCCCACGTACAGCAACTAGAAGGATGTGCAGCTATGACATACAACTATCTACTGGGGCTTTGGGGGAAAAAATAAATAAATAAATAAAATTATAAATAAATAAATAAATAAATTATTCCAGGTTTAAGAATAAAGTGAGGGGCCAGCCCGGTGGTGTAGTGGTTAAGTTTGTGTACTCTGCTTCAGTGGCCTGGGGTTCACAGGTTCGGATCCCGGGCGCGGACCTATGCACAGCTTATCAAGCCATGCTGTGGCAGGTGACTCACATATAAAAAAAAAAAGTAGAGGAAGATGGGAACGGATATTAGCCCAGGGCCAGTCTTCCTCAGCAGAAAAAGAGGAGGATTGGCAGATGTTAGCACAGGGCTGATCTTCCTCACACACACACACACACACACACACACACACACACACAAAAGAATAAAATGAATATCTATGTGGAATTAAGTGGTTCCAACTTTTCTAAGATTTTAATTTAAAATCAAGATTCCTGCTTTGGGTGAGAAAACGGATGATTTCAACTCACATTCTAGGAAAGCAGAGTCATGGCTGCTCAGAAAGTAGGCTCAACCATCAGATTGCCTTGTCTTACTGCCTGAAATTTCTTATTCTGAATATAGAATTTGTACCAGAACCATCGTTTCTTTTTCTACATATAACTCATTATCTATAGCCTAAACAATTCCTTTTGAAGGCCTCTTAAGGTTCAGAAGTTCAAATTTGGATTGTTTTCCTACTCTTCTGCTTAAGGATCTCTTAATTCTTTCTGAATCTTAACTCTGAGCTAAAAAAAAAAAACTCTATAAACATTTCTTTTTAGGAAAAAAAATTCCTAAGACTGCAACTCACCATCCAGGAACAACCAAACATTAACAAATCAGCCTATATACATGCAAGCTAAGGAAGAAATAGCCTGCAGAATCCTACTTCTTACAACAATGCTTAGAAAGGCAGAGAGCATGGGCCATTACTAAAGATATGTCACTATAGTAGTACAGAAGTTGTCCTATTTCATTATAATGAAAATGACAGTTTGCTGAGGGAAAAAAAAACTCCTTTCTATTTTTCTAAGTTTCTCTAATAAGATGACTGATTTTTGCAAGCTGACTATTCTACAACAAACTGAATTACTAAGTGTACTCCAAAGTGAAGAAAATGACCCCAGTGCAGATGCCTCTGAAGTGGTGACAATGGTGTCTTGGAAAATAAATGCTGTTATCATTCAATACCTGCAAAAAATAAATCTGTCAGTAGACTGAATGCCAAACAAGTCCTGCATAATTATGAACAGTCTGCAGCCTCATTTTTCTTTTCGCTTTTAGATGAGTTTTTGCTAAGCTGAATGCAAAATCCCCAAAGAGCACAAGGAACAGACTCCTCCCCGCAATGTCTGGTTGCCATCTGTTCTCAGTGTGAAAAGAAAGGCATCAGTTGGAAAGGCCAGGGCCTGGGATCCAGATGGAGGTGCAATTCTGTCAGGCACTCTTCTGCCTGTGTTCCCAGAGAATGCGCCACATAAGACTCACTGAGCCCAAACACATTCCTGTCCTCTTTACAACTCCACCACTTCCAAAGGAAAGTCTTTGCTGTCTCATCAATGTACTTTGTTTCCAAAGCTGGAAATGCTGGAAGAAACAAAAGTCTAAAAGGAAAATTAAATCATCCTTTCATCTTCATAACACTATTTTTCTTTATATTGTTTTTTTTTTTTTAATTTTATTTATTTATTTATTTTTCCTCCAAAGCCGCAGCAGATAGTTGTATGTCACAGCTGCACATCCTTCTAGTTGCTGTATGTGGGACACGGCTTCAGCATGGCCGGGGAAGTGGTGCATCGGTGCGCGCCCGGGATCCAAACCCGGGCCGCCAGCAGCAGAGCGCACACACTTAACCGCTAAGCCACGGGGCCAGCCCTCTTTATGTTTTTATAAAAGGTGTAACAGAAAGAAAATAAATGACTATTGTTTTGATTTTTATTCTAAAAATGCAAAGCCCACTCTAGAAATGCAAATGTTCTTCTACTAACTGGAGCTCAGAGAGAGAAAGTGGAAAAACTGTTAAGAGCCAGAAGCATTTCTGATCACATGTGACCACACACCATGAATAAACACAGACTGTTTGGACTGTGAAGCAACTGTATATCTGAAATGCAATTAACTTGATGAAAGTTCGTGGGGCACACCAACCCTGACCCGCCTTGTGTTTTGGGGGACCAGTTCTTTTCTAACACCAACAACATGCCTCTTTTTCTGCAGAGATCAACTGGCATCTCCACAGACCTCCCTACTCACTACTGTAACGGTCCTCAGTATGCCTTATCCCAAGCCTGCTCCTCTAGAGGGGCTGGGGCAATGTCAAGGTTAAAAAGCACAACTCTTTTTCTGTTTTTTGTGAGGAAGATTAGGCCTGAGCTAACATCTGATGCCAATCCTCCTCTTTTTTGCCGAGGAAGATTGGCCCTGGGCTACCATCCATGCCCATCTTCCTCTACTTTATATGAGACGCCGCCACAGCATGGCTTGACAAGCAGTGCGTCGGTCCACACCTGGGATCTGAACCCGCAAACCCCAGGGGCCGCCGAAGCAGAGCACGTGAACTTAACCGATATGCCACTGGGCCG